ACAGCTGCAAACGCATTTCCTTCCTACGAGTGTTTCAGGGACACTGGTGTGTCTGTTTAATTGCCATCCCTGCATTTATTTGCTGTACCCTGGCCACAGCAGCCCGTGCTACTGAGCAATCACAGCCCCAAGCTGACTCCTTCAGCTGGCCGTGGGAGCCCCATGAAGAGCATCCCTGCAATTAAAACAGACACTGCCACATCTGCGGGCAACGTTTCCATTGCCTGTTATTTATCATCCACTGTGCATGGCAAAAATTTCCATAGTAGCAGTTTGAACAGCTTCAACAAATGTTGTTCATCAAGAAGGAACACTAATGTGGTTTTTCACTCCAGGATTTTTTGCAGTTAGTGGTGTTCCAGGCACAGGCATTGCTCCCTGCCTGCCTCCATGGCTGACTCATGCTCCAACCTTGGTCAGGACACCAAGGTGCTGTTGCTGTTTTCTGTTTCTCGTTCTTTAAAATGCATGCAATGTCCTCCTCACAGTTCTGACATCATAACATCCTCTTGGCTCTAGCAGTGATCTGTCTCATTTCAGATACATATTATCCTCTACAAAATTATCTCCCCACCCTCGTCCCCTGTAAAAAAAAATAAAAATTAAACTAGTCAAAACTCCAACTTAAAATTGAAAATGGAGAGCTGTGTGGATAAGAGGATGCTTTCCCATTGTGAGCTGATAGCATTTTTTCTCTTGAAGCACTCCTGGGAGTGCTGGACCACCCAGCAGCCCAAGCTGGGATGTGTCCTTCAGCTTTTTGCCAGGGGTGGAAGGGATGGTTTCACTGCAGGTGTCGGATGGCTGGAGGACAATGCCCTGTCCCTGTCCACTCCATCCCATTCCCTGCATCCTTCCTGCCTTCTTCCCACAGCTGCTTTTTGCATTACTTCTTTTGCTGGCTGCTTGCTGCCTCGGCTCCAGCAACAGAGGAAGAGGAGGAAGCAAGAGCAGACAAAACAGTCTTCCTACTGCATTTCAGCCTGGCTATGAAAACATTTGCAGCAGCTAAAAACAGCATACAGAAGGGGATTCATGCTGTAGACCTGTAATCCTGGGCTGCAAAACTCTACTCAATCAGCAGATCCTGCTGCTGTCCTGTTAATCCCCTCTCCTTTCCCACCTTGCCCCTTCCAAAGCTCCGAGCCCATGGCCAGAGCTGCTTTGCAGCAAAGATACTCAATTCCTCCTCATTTTTCATTCCTCAAACATTTTTGAAGTACCGACCAGAAGCAGTTAATGAAAAAGTAAAAAACAGGCTTTGCTGAATTTTGCGAGGAAACGAACCTGAGTGTTTCTCACAAGATTCAGATTTTAGAGGGTGATGCATCACTCACTTGAGGATGCTTTGTTCTCTGACTGCACAAGGTGCCCAGACACCTTCTGTGGGTGTAGGCAGGCTGAATCAGGCCCCAGCTCCCAGGTCCATCTGCTTGCTGGGTGGGGAGCTCTACCAGTGTGGCTACAGCGCTCTGCACACAGTAGACAAGAGGTAATGGCCTTAAATTGCACCAGGGATGGTTCAGGTTGGATATCAGGAAGAATTTTTTCTCAGGAGCAGTGATGCAGTGGCACAGCTGCCCAGGGAGGTGGTGAAGTCAGTGTCCCTGGAGATGTTGAAGAGCTGTGGGGATGTGGTCCTGAGGGATGTGGTCAGTGGGCATGGTGGGGGTGGGTTGGCAGTTGGACTACAGGATCTTAGGGGCCTTTTCCAACCTTAGTGATTCTGTGACTGTAATAGTGGCCCTGTTTCATACCAAAATGTCACGTGGCACACACTAAATGCTATCCTCTGAGTTATTTAGGTGCAGATGCTGCACAGTAAATATGTATCCTTTAGCTAAACGCTTGAGCCACCACCACCTGAAGAGAGCTTGGCATCAGCAACTCTGCTCCTCCACCAACAGGTTTCTGGTAGCACCAAAAGGTATCAGATGTTGAATCCTGATGGCTAACTGTGAGGGAAGTCCCTTCACAGAGATGGCCCCGACCTCAGATCCAAAAATAAGTCACCCTCTATCCAGCTTGTCTATGTTTGTGCCATCTTGAGCACAAGCACGGGGAGGCTGTCAGCCTGAGCATGGCAGCAGATCTTCACCGTCACAAAGAAGCACAGAAAGAAAAGCAGTCTGTAAGATAGAGAAGGACACATATCATGCCTTTACTTTGTACTGCAATCTCTCGGTATTTTGTATGTGCTTATTGCTCTGAGTTTGTATCCCTTTCCCACCTGTACTTACACTGTCTTTTTTCTGTGGCTTGTTATTATTTCTATTGAGCAATCTTCAGCCGAACTGGGAGATCTTGCAGTGACTCACTTACTTGAACATTATTGCCTAGTTCTTTACACAAGACAGATTGGATATGAATGAGATCTCTTGTCCTCATGAGCATTGTATTTATTTCACAAGACATTTTCTTCAGAACTCTCCCTGCAATAAATTATGTGGTATATTTATTTTTTCTTCTACTGTGCTATAGCTCTGTGCTTTTTTTGTTGTTTCTCATTTTTCAGACACTGCTTCTTCTATGATCTGCTGTTGTTGTTTTCTATTTTTTCTTCTTACAATCCCTTAACTATATACTTGGGACTCTTTCCCTTGTGCATTTTTAGCATGCTGCATGCATTTGACGTAGTCAAACTGAGAGCTTGAGATAAGTATTTAAAGTAACAAAATGAATTTCCTCTTTTATCTTTCAGACTTTGTGTAATGACTGGGGAAAAAAAAAGAAAAAAAAGAAGGAAAAAAGGCAAGCAGGTGAAATGTTTTAAATGAAGCCCAGAACTGTGAAGAAATATACTCTTATGTATCATTTTCTGATCACCATAATGTCAGCTGGGTGAAAGGCTTCAGAATGGTTTACTTCTGAAGAATCACTTGCCTGGATTTCAGCAACTGCCTTTGGGAAGAGCCTGGAACAACACATCTGCTGACACCCCTGTGTAATCAAAGGGAGGATGAGTATATTTGGGACTGATGACCCTGAAATAGGACTTGGGGCTATCATATGTCTGAGGTATTTATACGAATCCCATCTTGGGACTATATCTCATTGCCAATGTTTCCATCAAAACTTCGTTATGTTCCCTTCCTTCCTAGCACTCCTGTTTGATCTGTCCATCCCTTTTGGCCTTTTAACTCCCCCATTGCTTGGTGGGGATGTGATAGCTAGACCAGATTAAGCCCAATTCTGGACTTTCTTTGGGAAGGTACTGGAGAAAAACATGGGTTGAACTCAAGCTCCAATGCAGGTCATCCAATGCACGATTTTGAAATCCAGTTACAAACTGAACTTGAGCACTGCTGCTTGGTTCCCTTTCTGTTTGCAAATTAATTATTTGGAAGCCCTGCCAGTCACTACTCAGGGGAGAAGGCTTCTAGCCTGCTTTACTATATCAGCTGTTTTTAACTTAGGTAGCATACATGTCATGTAGAGCTAAACTGACTTTAAGAAGGTACTGATTATTTTTTTTTATTTAATGTTTTTGTGTAGAAATTCAAGTGCCAAATCATCTGCTTCTGAAGGGAGCCCTGAAGGATCTCTTCATTAAAATGCACTGAAGATTTATCTGTGGGACAATGCCTGTCCTGCCTGAGCCTTCGTGTCCAGCACGTGCAGTCAGACAGGAGTAGAGAAAAATACAGGAGATCTCAGACCATTCCTCCAAGGCTGGTGCTGTACTATGCACAACTAAGAACTATTTTACTGGTTCATGTTTAAAACTAGAACTAAACTTCTTCACCTAGAGTGCAGCACAGAAGTAGGACATGTCATTCAGGGAAGGGGTGGGATTTCTCTCCCTGGTGACTTTCAGGGATCATCTACACAAGACCGTCTCCAAACTGATCTAGTGTTGATGTTAATACTGCCTCAAGCGGAGGTTGGCCTAGAAACCCCCAGAGGTCCTTTTCAAATGGTTTTGGGGTTGTTTTTTTTTTTTTTTTCCCTATGATTTTACAGTTCTGGTAAGTGTGTTACAGCAAAATAACCAGATGGATTTTTTTGGAAGTATAGAACAGATACCCTGAAGGCAGAAAGCAGTATGGGGAGAGAGAAGACACAGGAAGGAAAAAAAAAAAAAAAAAAAAAAAGACACTCACTTCTTTCCATTTATGAGTTAGAGAACCAGGACTCCTACAAGGAGTTGAGAAATTTGTCTTGATTTGGAGATGAGAAAAACAAACACTTCTAAGTAGCTTCTCACACTCAGCCTGCCCTCCTTGTGATCCTCGTCCTGTCTGGAGAATGGTAGACAGTGTTTCAAATGTTGGGGTCAGGCTGGTGCCTGCTCTGTCTAATCAGTTCAGTGTACATATCTTTCCAGTAGGGATTAAATATGTCTTGTCGCCTGTGGTTTTATTAAAGGGCAGAGAGGAGGCAAAGGAGCCTTTTACTTCTGACAACATTTCGGCTGCTTGCCTGAAGTATCTGCTGCTGGGGAAGGGGAGGAATGGCCAGACCTTCCTGGTGGAGGGCTGTGTCCACGCTCACTGCCTCTGTGCATGGGGAGAATTCTGTGGGAGAGCAGAAACAGGTTAGAAATTGGATGGTTAGGACAGTGCCCAGCATCCTCCTCCATTACCTCAGCCTGGGATGGGAAACTTAATTTCACCCTGGGCACAGGCCAGTCTCCTTTGCTCCCTTTCCCCTGTGTGCTCCTCTTACTGGATTAGGCAAAACCCACTGCTGTCACTGAGACAGATGATTTTTCATGCAAAGTTCTCTCACTCTGCTCAGGGCAGGGCCAGCTCTGGCTCTTCTGCCAGTAGATGTCCCTGCTCACATAGCTTGCTGTCTGCCCTAGGAAACCGGCTTCCAAGATGCTAAGCTTCACATCTTTTCTGATGAGAACTGTTCATTTAGAGGTGTGGGTTTTTTTCATTCCCTTTTAGGTTTCTGGCATAAAGTTTAATCAAAACCTTTGAAGGCTGACACTGAAATTAAAAAGACAGATGATTTTTTAATTGCAATGCACTCTTTCTGTGATCTGTAAGTATTTCCATGTTTGTTTATAAGGGAAGTTGGAGTACAGACCCCAGGGAAAGACGCTTTTCTGTTACTCTGTTCTGCCCTTCACTCCTGCTCTGCATCATGCATCCATGTAAGTTCTGTGGTTTAGGGGGCAATACTGTTAATAGGTTGATGATTGGACTGGATGATCTTAGAGGTTTTTTCCAACCTTAATGACTGTGTGATTCCATAGTTTCCTCTTTCTTGCTTTGCAGCATTTTTCCAAGCAGACATTGGTTTGGTGCAGCTTTGAACAAAACAAGAGCAAACAAAACCCAACAGTGCTGAATGCTGCACCCTTGCTGCATGGTGGAAGTAACTTGAGTTTACTGAGAGTTTCAGAGTTCAGCCTTGTAGTACATCTTCTCTAACATGAGACTTGATCAGCTTGCTTTCATAGCCACATATAGGTGAGTTTTGTTGTTTTGTTTAGTGCTCTCTGTTATAGTCTCACAATTATATAATTCTGAAAATTACCACGGGAAAGTTATCCTTAAAAGAGCAAAGAGCACTGCTGCTCTCCACAGAAATAAGGGGATGACAATTGCTATGGAAGAAAAGGAGCTTTTTGCACAACACTGCCTTTTTCACCCCTTTGCTGTGGGTTGGGTTTTCCCAGGGCAGGGCAGGATGGCTCTGGCTGTGCTCTCAGATCAGGGCTGCATCTCTCCCTGGCATCCAATTGCTCTGGCTTCAAAAAGATGAACGCTGCAGCCATGAGCGGGGGAACGGCTCATTAACTGATTGGTGGAATAGAAGCACTCACTGATTTCAGAGCATACTTTTCTTGTGCCTTGCCTTTGTCTTCTCCGGCAACTTTCTTTAAAATTTATGTCCCACGTTGTCACATCAGGAGGAAAAAAACATGAGAAATGTTTTGTTATTTCAAATTTATTGCATATTACGTCAGCTGGCATTGTGGACTCACAATATGTAATGCTTCATAAATTATGAAAAATAAATGCTTTATGGGCTTACTACGCACTCTGTTTGAAAATCGTTGAGCTGGGGAGACTCACTGACCCCCGTACAAATTAATGTGCACATTATTTTCATTATTGCAGCTCGTATGGGAAGTTTGAATATCTTTATTTCTTTCTGTAAAGGGAAACGAAAATAGAAGTTGCTTGAATCCTGTTAGCTCTTCTGGCAAGAAGCAGGTATGGTTTCACCCAGCTCGTAACCTATTGCTTCCTTCACAGTCCTTGTTATTCCAGGCCAAAGCTTAAGCTCCAAATCAGAACTGCAGGGACTTAGAATGCTTTTCCGAAGGCCAGATCCTGCAGTTAGGCAAACTAAATCTCCACCTTGGTAGGATTGCATCTACGCAAAGACTGCAGGGTTTGCAGAAATGTAGGAAAGCACAAAGCAGACTCCTACAGCAAAGAAGGCGGAGGGTCAGGGTTCTACTCAATTTCCTTATGTGTGATGGGCAGACTCAACCAGACAGTGCAGCTCAGGGCCTCAACAGCAGCAAAAAAGAGAAATCTCAAGGCACCAACAATGTTAAACCTGATCAGAAAATGGCAGCCTTCAGCTCCAAGCTGCAGGAAATGGATGCAAATGTCCTCATCCGCCTGCACGGGAAAATGTGTTGTCCCATTTTCTGAGGAGCAAAAGTTCACTGCAACATGTGGTGCATGGGAGGCGTGCATGCTTGAGGGGAGAAGGCACCATAATGTTAGGTACAGGGAATGGTGAAGTGCTCTCAGCTGATTTTCTTTTTCTTTTCCCCCTTTGCACCCGACTATTTCTGTGCCTTGCAAAAGGATGTCAGGGGCAACTCTCCCCCTTTTCGGGCTGTTTTTTGGTATTGCACTGATCCACCACTGTGCTTCTAATAAAGCCATCAAGAGCACAACCAGGAGCTCCCTGTGCAGCTTATGTGATGGAAATCGTTGCTCCAGAGGGCTCCTTAACTTGGGGCTGGATGGATTGAAAACCCTTCCAAGTTATTCTCTCCTAATTCAAGTCAGCTGAGGCATCAAAATGTTGGGCAGATGGACAAGAGCTTTTGCTGGAGCCAGCCAGCTTGCTGCTGCTGCTAGGGCTATTGCAGTCAACACTTAGAGGTTTCATTTTATTTATTTCTGAGCTTTGCAGAAATTAGCCTTTACAGAAGCACATTAAAGGAGACTCCTGAGTGCAAGAGCCCGTGCTCTCAAGTCCCTAACTTTGCAATAAAATGAATTAAACCAAGCCCCCTAATTGTGCCTCCTCCCAATAGTTTTTCTCCTGTATGTCGAACTCTGCAGTTCTAGAAGGAGATATTCTGTTTAGAAGTTATTGCCCGAACAAGAATCACAACAGCCATTTGGCCGGGATGGAGTGAAAGTGATTTTCCTGGCAGCCATATATTTTCAAAACGATTCACTCCAACCATGCCAACCCCGGGGACTTTTTGTGATGGGGACAGGCAGGAGAAGAGACCGGATAACCGAATTACGCCCCGAGTTCGTACTTTCTTTTTGTCGGTAAAACGAAGGCGTGCGTTTGCCTCTCGCATCCAGCGGAGGGCACTTGAGCTCCACGGGAAGGAACGAAGCGGAATTACACCGCGGGGTGAAACTCCCAAGGAGGCAACGGAGGATGGAAATTAACCGTTCTCTGCCTGCCTGCGTGCAGATCGCTTAGGAATACCTGCAGAATTAAAAAGGAGGGAACTCGGTTTGAACTGCTTTGTTAACGGAGAAGGAGAGATCTAAAAGTTTTGTTCAGCAGTCGAGGAAAAAGTCTTAATTCGTATATATATGTTTCAGAGGGTTCTGTTTCATATGTTAATCAGAATTTCCAGTATGTGGGTATTAATGAGGGAAGTTCCTGATTTTCTGTTGGCTTTCTGACCTCAGCAGTATTTAGGTTTTAATTTGGCACTCATAATTTCAGTGTGAAGAACAATTTTTAAAGGCAAACTTTCTTTTCTTGTTGTCTCAGCTGTAGCAGAAAGAATAAAGGCAGATCTCAGGAACTGAGCCTATAAGGCAAATCTGGCCAGGGCTGAAACTGGGACCAGTTTGGAAAAGTTCCTGTACAGGAAAACTTTTAAGCAAACATTCCAATCAGAAACAGCCCTTACCATGTTCCTCTTAAAATCTGCTCTCCTCCAGTTTATAGCACGGACCCTTGGGCTACAGCAGTCTAGAAAAATCCAAAATAAAAACCACACTGTTTTCTGGGTCTGATCATGCAGCACTCCTTCAAAACAAAACCCAAGTAATACAAGGTTTAGGCCTTCCTGACACGTTGTTCTTTTGAAAAGAAAACACTCCAGCGTGTCTTTATTGCAAATGCATCGTTTTAGGGGCGTTTGCTTTGAATGGAATCACAGGTGGGTGGAAGCAGAAAGCTTTCAAATGTTTGCAACAGCAGTTGCACGTAAATGCTGTGATGGTCAGCACTGCATTATTAGCAGGCTTATTTACTTCTTATATTTGATTTGCTTCTCCTTGCTGGCGTCATGCTGCTGTAGTAGGAGATCAGGCACAAATAAGTGCTTACAATGAAAATTAAGTTTCTGTAAGTAACTATTTTAAAATGGTTGCTTTTATGTTTACTGCTGAAGGATCTTGAGCACTCCTGCCAGAAAGGAAAGTATTTATTATCTCTCTTTTACAGATGAGGAAACTGAGACACTGTGAAATTAAAAGCTTGGGGAAATTAGTACACAGTAAATTACGGTGTGAATTTACTGTGTACGAACCACCCTGCACGAACTCATCAGGCAGACTGGCAAAGAAAAAGGATTAAAGTCCTTTAAATTATCTCGCATTTGCCACGGACAGACAGCTACCATGCTGTCAGCCCCTTTGGAACCCGCAGCGAGCCGTCCGTGAGGCGAATCCCTGGGAGGAGAGGAAGGACAGAGGGATTGCAGGCTGCGTCCAGGGAGCACGTGGGGTTAATGCAGTGAGTTAGAATGGTGAGGTGGGAAGGTCGTCCCATCTGTCCTGCGAGCCCCACCATACACCTCCTCCAGCCCTTGGGCTGGGTCTGTGTGTGTGCATCCAGGCTGCACGGTGACCTCCTTGCCAAGTCCCCTTCACTCCCATCAGTGCTATTTCTGGTCATGGCTCCAGCAGGGACCTCTGGGCTCGGGAATCTCTGGGAGCAGCCTCCTCACCCCACAGCATGCTGTAGGGCCAATGTTGAAGCATCTTTGGCAGGAGTGTTTCCCATTGTTGCTGACCCCAGCTGGGCAGAGGAGCATAGAGGGAGCTGGGGCGGGAGCTGGTGGGAAGACAATTACTGACAAGTTCGTTCCACTAATAAACAAAGACATAAATGACGACACTGTAAAGAAGAAGCAGGATTCTGTGGAGAAAGCCCTAGAGAGAGACCTAGAGAGAAGAGAGATGTTTAGACGACAGTTTTACATTACACCACTTTGTGAAATATGTGCTATTTTAGCTCCGAGCTGGAGTCCAGTTAGAGCTGCATCAGGACTTAGGAAGCAGAATGTATTTTAATGCCCTGTGAGCAGGAATAGCTGATAACTAGTACATTTAAATGTGAAAAGCAGAACTTTTCTCTGGGGGATGTATTATTTTTTTTCATATGAATTTAGTCGTTGTAGTTTACATTACAGCTCTAGCGCTCCACTGGCAGTCATTTATCTAATGACTTACATCTTTCAGGCTGCAGAAAATGTAGGATAAGAGAGCGAGAGAGAGAGAAAGGGGTGGTAGAGGGGAAGTTCTTCATAATTTGCATTTCAGGGCTGAACCTAGGATCGTAAATATACAGAAGTTGGAACCTTCCTAACATCCCTCAACTATCTTTTCCTTTTTTTTTCAGAGCATTACGATATGAAAACAATGGGATTAGGGCACTGTATACTTCAATCTCTCTCACTCCCAATCCCTGAAATAAGTGTAAATAGAGCTGGATTTGCTTCTGGTATAGCTGAAATTAAGACAAAAGGGTATGTCTGAGATAATATGGGTTTTTTTTTGCCTGTAAAGTGTAATCATAGACAATGCCTATCTGTGCTGGGGAAATGGATTGCACGTAATATGAAAACCATCTTTTATAGAGGCAAACCAGGCTCACTGGGATCTAATGTTGTAAAAGAAGTTTCTCAGGTATAATTAACCTGTGGAATGCCCTACTGTGAGATGCTCTTGAAGTGTTGGCACTAATACCATCTGTCTTCATAACTTAGGACATCAGTGACTTGCTAGCTGAGAGCGAGAAGCAATCTGTAGTGTCCCATGACTCTGCTGGATGAACAGTGTGGTCACAGTGACTTTTGGAGCGACGGTCACTGCTGGAGTTAAAGGAAGTTTTGGTTCCCAAAACCAGAAAGAGGGAAGTGGAGGAGGGAGCAGCTTGAGAACTATCACAAGAATGTGATAAGGAAGGGAAGAACTACACACGTGAGAGGTGATGCCAAGGAGTAAGGTAGGTTATGGTGGTGTTACCCATATTCCTCAGTTCTCAAACAGATTAGAAGTTACTGATTGAGATGGTGGCTGATGCAAAAGGTAGGCAGTTATGTCCTCACTCTTGTGAAACATCAGAGGTCTTCAAGCCCCCATCCTTTGAGGGACGTGTCTCATGCACTGGAGTGTAACTGTGGGTTACTGTGTGTGTCTGTGGGGTTGGTGCTGGGAGAAGGGCCACCAGACCGTGGCTGAATTGAGTTGTTTCACTAAAATGTGGAATCTACTTCACTGAACAAAAGCTCATTTGGAGAGAGAGACAAAGGTAGAAATGAGAATGTGGGTAAAGAATTGCCAGAGAGATAATCTGAGGATAACAGTGTTTGGAGATGAGCTGGACTTCTGCTTGGTGCTGTGGGGACCTATACAGCAGTACATGCTCCAGCAATGCTGGTCATCAGGAACTTTAATACCAAAACCGTGAGAAACATTTGAACTTCAGATGACTCCAGAATTCAATTGCAGTTTAGCAGGTTTTTAAGGCTGATGCTTTATATATATAAGGCATATATAAATATGCACACAGTCAATATATATATTCACGTGTGTATATATATTTTTTTATGTATATGCTTTAGTTCTTTTCTCTTCAGTCAAATAAATTCAGTAGCTTTCACTTAAGCCAGAACTAGGGGAGCCTTTTTGGTAGAGAGAGATTTGATGGAGCCATGCAAAGCATCAAGGAGTCTGCATCAGAGTTCTTCAAAGGTTTCATTCAAGGCCAGCTCATCGTTAACCTGAATATTTGATTTGAAGTCATGCTGCTTTCACATGTCATGCTACCCTGGCACTGGTGAGAGGAGAGACTGGAGGAGGGAACGAGAAAGCAGGGAAGGATTTGGTTATCAAAGCAGAGGACTTAGATTCAAAAGTAATCGACAGAAGGAGATTACTTTGGCTCACAGTTCAGACTGGGGCTCTATCCCAGTAAATAAGCCACCCCCTCGTACAGACATAAACCCCTATGTGTGCATTACCAGCTTCATGCAGAGACAGGGAGACGGTGCCATCACTTAGCTACCAACCTGGCCAAACCTTGGGTTTTGCTGAAGCCCGACTCAAGGATATTAATAAAAAGAAACGATTTTACCCTTTCTGGTCTCACTTACAGCAGGCTGCTAATAATGCCTTATGAGGCCGCTACACAGTTCAATCAATAGTTTGATTTTTCTGCCCTAGAGCTGTCAGAAACACAAACCCCACGCTTAGCTGGCTGAGTGAGGACCTGACCACAGAGATGGAGCAGAAATTTGGGACAATGGAGCTTTGTGACTAATGGGAAACTTGGGTATGGACCGCTCTTGCCGCTCTTCAGCCTTCTCTCATGGCTGCATCCTGCCGAATCCACCAATGATGCTCAGCACCAGTTATTTATTTCCATGTCACCTATGGAAACGTTCAGGTTTGACAAAGGGGGAAAAAAGCGATTCAGCGTCTTTTGACAGAGGGAGGCTGATTTTCATTCGAGACAGAATGGCTCATTTTTACCTTTTTAGCTCCTGGAAGAGTAAAAAGTGAGAGGTCAAACCTGCATCACCATGACAACCCCTGCAGTGAGGAGTTTGAGCAGATGAAGGGGAGTGATAACAGAGCTGAAGTTTCTCCCTGTTCCTGTCGTGGCTGAGATTTTTGCTTTCCTTCTTTCTTCTCCTTAGGCCTTGTAAGGTGTGGCATTTTGCATTTTGCAAGGGTTAAAGGATGACGTTGGCTGGTTTATAAAGCTGCCAAATGCTTCCTTTGGGGTCAGGCCTTGATACAGCACTGCCTGGTGTTAGCCATATCAACCATGTGAAAAATAGCATCGTAAGAATGCAGAAGATCAAATATCACCTCACTTGCATTTCCTGCTGTAGTGCAGGTGTATTAGGCCAGCAAGTGCACTCGTATTACCAGGTTTGCATCAAAGGAAGCTGTCGTCTCCGCCTTTACTCACAGAACCTGTGGTGTGTACAAATAAGATCAGTAAAACAGCCCTTCATTGAGGAGAGAAGGGATTGCACTAATGAAGCAGTCCAACATAGAGTGGGGGCCCAAGGCACTGTGCTCAGGAAGGATTGCGGGTGAAACTGGGAGCTTATTTGAGATGCTGAGCTCATCTCCTAATTTCCTATACCAGCACAAGAAGGAATGTGCAAGAGCAGACTGCAGACAGTTGAGGTTACAGCCCTGAGTGAAAATGAGTGAAAATGAAGTGACACAAACAATCCTCCAAATTCCTTTCTACCTAGAAACTGAGCCTAGTCCAATGAGAGGGTGGACACCAAAACAGCAACAACAAAAACAGATTACGCATTTTTCTAATTTTTTTTTCTTTTCTATGTATTTACTAAACCCTGTGTTGCCCCAGGGTGAGAGGCCCTAGACAGGAATGCACTTCCATTGAGTTGCATATCTAATACCTGCAGCAGGCTGTTCTCAAACCCTATCTAGAGCCTCTATATGCACTTTTGAACACCAAACTTCTTTGGAGTCTTCCTGGGGTTGGAAACATCCTTTTGTTGTACAATCAGTACTCTGGTTGTGGTTGCAACAAACTATGAAAGAGGACAAGGAATGCCAAAGCAGATATTCCAGTGTCAAGGATATTAATTTTGCTGGATGATCTATCTCAGAGTCATGAAACTACAGTGACATTTATACAGTGATCAGTCAGTTATGCAGAGAAGAGGAATAGTCAGAGTTAGCACTAAAGAAATTGTCAATGGATATAAAATCTCCAGCTGAAGCTGTTCTCTGTGTCCAAAGGATTACGCTCAAGCTTACTCAGAGTCGATGAATTACCGTGTTTCTACTTTTTGAAGGGTTTCTCCTATCTTCTTCCAAGTGGTGGACACAGCCCTCGTGTCAGGATGGAGCCCATCAACCAAACAGGCAAACTACAAAGAAAGAGTTTGGCTATGGTCAGCCTACCACAAGATTTGGGACAATAGCTGCATTAACATACCCAGTCAGCAGGAAAGCAGAGCTGGGCTATTGGGATCAGCCTGCAGATAAATCAAAGCAAATCTGAGCGATAGTGATATGATGTTGCAATAGTAATTCGCTCCTGATGACGATTTAGAAGAGAGAGCCAGTTCAGAGTTTCACAAGCATACAGCCCTGTGGGACAGTATGAAAGAAAATAATCAGTTTAGATGGAAAGAAAGTGGAGGTTATCAACTGCATAAATAGAAGCCTGGCAGAAAACAGACGAGATAATTTCTGAACAGGCCTTGGATTATTGTCTGTGTTTAGACAACCGATTTATGAACTGCTGGACACTGGTATATTAATCAGCAAATCTGAAAAATTAGGTTAAATATGAAACCCCTCTACGCAAGTGCATTGCAACAACACTGATTTAAACAAGATGTTAGAGCATGACAGAAAGTGCAATTTCATCCTGACAATGATGAGCCAGAAACCTCAGCTTTCCTCTTCCTGTGGTGTGGCTGGGCTCTCTTCACTCAAATTTGAGCATTCGTTATGATCTTGGAGAGGGGCAGAGCTCCCGTCTGCTGGTGCAGCTCCAGCAAAACTCTTTTGGGGAGCTCATTCTCTGTGGACAAAATAATGCATGCCAATCACCTTGGCACCAGATCACTTGGATGCTTTAATTACATTTATTTTATTTTTATTCCTCACCGCAACTCTGCTTAGACGTATTCAGCCATAGTGGAGTCAGTGAAATCTGATGCTGGTTTGAATTTACTAACAGCTCTTTGAAAATCAGCATATTTCTGCGTGGAAATGTTCTGCAAACAACTTGCAATGATCTCCACCTTTTCTCACCCCTCCATCCCCCAAAGAAAAGGAGAGAAACTAAATTATAGAGCTTTATTTTACACTTTACTTGGATAATGTTTGAACATAAAGTGATACGTGACGGCTGTGTTTTCTTTGAAATTGTACCTTTAACATTGTAGATGATGTAGGTGGAGCTCATGAACTTTGAAAGATTTTAAGAAAAGAGCTTTCCTATGGTACTAGAGTACTTGGTCACAAAGAAAACCAGCCCAGGAAAGGCCAAGGGACCTAGTAAAGAAAGTGTGAAATACCATATTCAAAATGGAATTAGCTTAAGCTCCAGAGAAGAAAACCACAAGCAACACATTTCTTTCTTCAGAGCTACTCACGCATACCCTTCATCCATAAAGGTGCTGGCATGGCAAGCAAATATTGCTGTCCAGAGGTTAAAGTTCAAATGCATCACTTGAGTCAATGAGGAGTTCCACCAGGGCAGGATGAGCCATTTCCTTTGGGAGTGGTGAGGTGGGGTGGGGTGGGGTGGGGATAGATGTGGGTGTGTGGTGTCGGATGTAGACACAGCCCTTGTACAGCAATTACCATGAAGTTTAAATAAATACAATAGCCTAATTTTGCATGGAAGTACACTTTAATTAAGTTGCTGTAGAACAATGAGCTGTTTCCATAAGAGCTGTGAAAATCATCACAAGGGACTGTCCAGAGGAAGAGAGAAACAAACAAGAGAAGCTCTCTTTGTATAGAAAATATGCACAGGAAGTATGTTGAAAAGCTGCTCCCAGTTAATTTGCTTAGGAAGAATTAATAACAAACTCGAGCCTTTTGCTCTGTTTTCACTCCCTATCCCAAAGTCTCATTGTGCTTACCAGGCTGAGGGAGATGCAGCTCGTTTGCAGAGTAATGCCAGAGCATTGCAGCATACTGGGTGTGATGCACACCAATGAGTTTAGCCAGGTTGAGATGAGTTGCTTCTGGGCTGGAAAACCACATGTAAGGTAAATGCTAGATGTATGAGGAAAAAAACCCCATCCTTCTAAAGAGTTTGCGATGCATTCCTCCTGTCAGTATGGTCAGATGTAGGGTGCTAGGAGAACATCACATTTTCCATTCCTTTCTTTAATTCTTCTAATTTCTTTCATTAGATCTGAGTTCCTATTGTACTGGAATTTCTGCATGAAAACAAATTTGCCTGAGTATTTTTACTAAACCCTGAAAGCTTGAGCACAGACAAACACAGGTAAGGTTCAGCCTTTGTTCGCCACAGTATTGTCTTCCTGAGACCAGAATGCCCAATGAAGGACAGCTAGCAGCTAGCAGTCCCATCAGATATGTTATAGCTTGGGATGACTTTGGGCTCAATAACACCTACAGAACCTGTTGAAATGTTTCCTAAATCCTAGCCAGATGTAAAGCCTCCCATAACAAGGGTAACAGAGCAGCCTGATGTTTCCAGAGCGTGATTTTGCCTTGAAGCCTTGGTGAGTAATGGGTATAAATTACCAATGGTCTACTTATTTTTTGTTTTACCTCATGATATATGATGGGCTATTCTGCCAACCGATAGCTTGCAGCTATGCAAGCCTCAGACAGACAGGCTAAATCTAGGGAAGCACAAAATGACTTGATGCTTGTCTTATATCTAGATTGTAAAGGCTTAGGCCAGGAACCGCCTTTGTTTGCTTTTATGGGTTTTTTTTGTGTGTGCGTAGCTAGGTAACATAGCTTGGCCAACTCCATGACGGTTGTCTTGGGCATGGCTGCACTGCAACCAGAAAGTCATTACCAGCAACCAGCCCTCAGTGCATGCAAGTTTCTCGTGCTTGTTTGAGAGGTGAAGCACTTGTGAAGGTTTAATCGAAATCTGAATACATGTGACTGAAATTGGCTCTCTGTGATTATTTATACAAGTAAATCTGCTTCTCAGAAGTTCTCAGAAATCAAATGCCAGCCTTGTCTGATCATTTTTTTAAAGGAGTAAATATTTGTTGAAAAATTCTTTGCTATATTAATTTTGCTCTGCTGCCCTGATAGGGATGAGAAGGGACTCCTGGTGTGCATCAATCAGCCTTCAGTGAAGAGGGACCAAAATAGCTGATTACTTGGTCCATAACACAATCCTCTGAACAAAACCCAGACCTTTCAGGTGTCCCAGCAAAGATCTTAAAGTATCTCATTTTCCTTCATACATCTGCATAGCCAGCTAAAATATTCCAGGAAATGTTCCTCATTTCAACACTAGGTACGTCAGGTAAAGGTATTTTAAGCAGGAGGTAGTTTAAGCAGAGTGACACATATTTCCATGTTTTCCTAACCCCGCTTGAAAGCACGTCTGCCAGTAAGTGGTTTGCAACTTGACAGTCGGCCACGGCTATTTTTTCATTGCTGTATAATGTCTATAATGTTCTCATTCCCTGTTGCTGACCTTTTTTTTTTTTTTTCTTTCACTTTCTCTCTTTTTTTTTCCCTCTTTTTGTGGTAACCCTTTTACCTTCTTTTCCCCTGCTTAGACCCATTAGCAGGATGTTGTGCAATATGGTGCTTGTCATCTGTTTCAAAGACACAGTGATGAGATACAGGTATGCCAGATGGATAAACCTAGTGTGACTAATTATTGTGTATTTGCCTTTAATTATTATCATTTATTACCAGAGAAAAGACAATAGAGGTTCTCAGACTCAGAAGGGAATGTCGGCAGAAGGGGATTGTTTTCTTTTTTTTTATTACAAGAGAGTGGTACATCAGCAAGAAAAGTTTTCTTCCTGAGGAGAAACGTAAGTAAACGTTGAGATGAGAAGTCAACGTGACCCATGCAGGGCTTTCCTTTCCCTGACATACTTGAGAATCAGATATCTCAGAGGTAACAGTTTATTTGTGATTGTAGATCAACTTTTCCTTTGCTTGAATGTATTAATGAGTATGTGGATATCCTTCAGTTATCTGCACGGGTATTTTCCCTGAGAGAAATGAAATCTGTAAGTCACTAAGTTGTAATTTTTAAATAAATAAAGCCCAGGTTAGCAAATATCATTGAAGATTTCAGTGCCATCAGGCTGAGCCTCCCAGTCTTTGAATTGAATTTGCCTCCATATTTGACGCAAACATATAGGATCTCTCTGGTGTTTGGCATGTGTGTAGACATTTCTCTTTCGGTTATTATAACCTTATTATCACTAAGAATCCTTCAAAACGCATATAAAACATTTCAAAATAAAGAGGACATCTCTGTTGCATCTATGTTAGTCTAGGCCACTTTGCTCAGCTCAGGATCTACAGCCAGGCATTCTGGGCTACTTTGAGAATCAGAATCACGAATGTCTTTGGTTGGAAGGGACCTTAAAGCTCCCTCAATTCCAACCCCTGCCGTGGGCTGGTTGTCCCCCACCAGATCAGGCTGCCCAAGGCCCCATCCAATCTGGCCTTGAAGAGGATGGGGCACCCACAACTGCTCTGGGCAACCTGAACTAAAGGTTGATATCATTAGGAAAACTTTTGGAAATGTTAATAATATAGCACCCAAAGCTGCTTTTATTTTGCAGCTGAATCTGCTATTATTTACTAGCACAGGCAAGATTATGATGGCTCGTAACTTTGATCTTCTTGCTTATGGGGCACAGCACTTTAATTTGGGAGCAGCCATACTGATTTGGTAAACAGATTGAGGAAGAGCTTCAGACGTGCGCTTTAAAATTCATGAAGATCTGATTTAGTACGTCTTAGACTGATATTTTTGCATATTGACTCTGTGGCTAAATCGCATCATAACCTAGAGGACCAGTGATCACCTTGATCTATCACAGATAGTACAAGGCATAATCAATGTTGCTAGTCTGCTGAAATATTTCTATATATAGTATTTGTCAGAAGAATACATGCAAAGCTACTAAAAGAAACAAAGTCCGTACATGGACGATTTACAAACAGGAGAAAGGGCTAAATTTGCCACTGTTTGCCCTGAATAGCTTACCCGGATTACAGGCCAATTTTGTTTTGGACAGAAATATTTTCCATTGCAGAGTCTGCTAAAGTCAACAGAGTGCTGTTCCTTTGGCTGCAGGATGGACTGAAGGCTGGGTTGTATTTTGGGATTGGCAGCTCTGTCCATCTCCCTTTAACCCATCTGACCGCAGTTTGACTGGGACTTGACTAAGCGCTTAATTCTGTGATTGCCTTGATTGTGGACTCCTGCTCCTAAACCTATTGCAATATTGTTAATATATAGCAATAAAAAGCTGCCCCTGATAACCAAAAAATATTGTATTAAATTGATAGACCGGGTATTAAAAATGCAGAACCAGCCTAATGAAATAACTTGCCTTTGGTTGCAAGAACCTTCATCATAAGAAGATTTAAGACTAATCTGACTTGGAGCTGCTTCATTCCAATTATTTTTCAGGAATTTTGGGGGCTTTATTTTTCTTTTCAACATCATTATTCAGTCTTGACAGTTCTTATTTTGTTAATTTTTTTTTGCATATTGAGTAAATGAGAAATCAGTTCACAACCATTCTTAAGGAGAAATGAAATGCCCAGTAATCCAATTTTGATCAAAATGCATCTTTGCTTTTCAGAGACTGACCAGCCTGTGCAGTTATCTCCACATGCACAGAGTTGATAATAAAGCAAAGTAAAGCTCACATTCTTTTCCCATTGAGAGAAAATCTCAGTTGGTGGGAACGGGGCATTGTTCAGCTGGAGAACAATGTGCTGTTCCCCCAGTGTGTAGCAAAGCAGAGAATGACAAGATGATTTCTTCCTGTGCTTCTACTTTTGTTTCTCAAATGTTTACAGGCCCAGAGTAAGCCTTTTCTTCACCCTAGCTGGGTAGTTCTCTTTCCTGCAAACCTTTCTTTCTGTCTCTCCTGATGCCTTGTGTTTGCAGAAGATAGCTTGCTACTGCAGCACTTTTCCCAAAAGCAACCTTGAGAAGAAGAGACAGACCCAGCTGTCTTCACAGACCTGTTCTAAAGCTCCTCTGCCTTCCGCTTCAGCATCCATTGCCACTTGGTTTTGCAAAAAAACCCACAAAACAACAAACACAGAAGAAGCCAAAATGCATCACAAAAATACAATCCCTTTCCAAAGAGTGTCTGCACAAACAAGCTCTGTGTGTCTCACATGGTGCATAGAAGTATTCCCATAATCCATTGGTTTGGGGTTTTTTTTGGAATTGTGCTGGCTTCAGTGATTCCAGCTTAGTTCCTAACTGGTTTTTATTCACCTTTGCCCTTTAGAACTTATACCTAAAGGAGCCACTGCATTTCTCTTGTGCAACATCAGCAAAATCGGTGGCTTTGAAAAGTTTTCTAGCAATCAAGCAAAGCTGTTCCACTTCTATGAATGTCCTTCTTCCTTTCTACCACCCGTTTCCTCACCAACTCCTCCTAACTATTGAACAGAAAAACAGGAGTTTTCTGTTTGTTTTTCTCTGCCATCAGTTCACTTCTCCACGTTTTCAGAGTTCCTGAGTGTGTTTCTGAACCTTCTGACTTTTATTCAGATGAATAAGCAGTGGAGAGAGAAAAACTAAATGGTTTGAGGACTCTATGTGAAATATATGAGTAGGTATTGGATGAAGGTGTTGGATGAGTATGGATAAACACGTATATGAACAAAGGTATTGAATGATAGGTGTACGAATGGAACCATATGCACTGTATCTGGGCATTATCTTCCATTAGGGTCTCAAAGCATTTTGATACCCTTCAGAATTGTTTTTAGATTCTTCCACCTGGACTGTGGCACAACTGGATTTATGCTGCTTAATGGGCTGATTCCAAGGTTGAAAGTAGACTTTGGATTTCCAAGCTTCCCTTTAATTCCTCAGTATTTTATCTGTATTTTAAAGGGCTCTAGCAGCTAAGAAAAATAATGGCCACTGTCCATTAGTTCAAGAGAAAGCAATGCAAAGGGCATCTTTCCAGAATGAGGCAGAGTATTGAACAGTTTTATCAAATGACAGAACTTATTTCCCAGGTACCTGTCAGTGTATCATCACCCATCTGTTTAAACCACTTGGGATTCTGAGTCCACAGGATCTTGTGAAGAAGGTTGTAACAGAGCAATGCACTCCTGTGTGCTCCTAAAGAAAGTTGGCCACACACCTGAGTCTGGGTTGTGACATGAAGCAAGTATTAGATGTGAGAATCATCATGAACATAGATGTTCAGTAATCATCTTGACGTTATAAGTAGCAGCCAATTGTTTCCTAAAGAGAAAGAAGGGAAGATGAGAGAGATAACAAATCACTGTGGGATATTATGAAAAGGATCTCTTCCTAGACCAACAGTAAATGGCTTCTTTTCCGTGGCACTAGGAAACAACCATGTTTATAACTAAAAAAACCTGAACTTTTCGAACGTATTCTGTTGACTTTCCAAGTTACCTTTATTTTCGTTTACCCATCACTTGTTACTGTCTTATTTGTATCTATTCTTTTCAAGACAACTTGTGGTTTCTTGACTCTTCACCCTTTCTGTTTTCTTCACCATCTAACCTTAGAGCATTCCTCTTTTTTCTCTCTGAAAATCTGCCTGCTGGTATTTTCCATGAATCCATCTGCATTGAATTATTTATAGTTACAATAAAGTCTGCTTTTGTCTAATGTTTATTTTCTTTAATAAAAAGAAACGTGGGGAAAATGTTCCAAAGAACCGAAAAAGGACTTGACTTTTCCTGGACGCTAGGCAACGGTAGCCAAAAAGCACAAAACAAGCCATAGGATGTTTGTAAGATGATTTCTAAAAATAATAATACTTAGAACTTTGGTTTCTAATGCACTTTTTTTTGCCTTCATTATATTTCCCAAATCTGGGCCTCGATTATAATGTTGTCATGTCACCCTAAAGGCTGCAGTAAGCAAGGAACTACTGTAGAGGCAACCAGGAGCAATAAGCAGATGGATACAGCTGATAGAGGCCAGGCTTCTTCTTCTCCTTGTCTTAAGTGTTTTATATAGGTCATGGAACTCTCTTATGCTGGTCATTCCTGGCCAGTGGGTTTATCTTGTGTCTGGTAGAAATTAGAGCAAACAATGTATCTTACCTGATGAGTCATTGCTAGTTCTTTCTTATTTTTTACTGCTTGTTTGAATTGAGTTTTTATTATGATTTAAAGGTTTTTCCCATCTTCGTTTCCAGTGGAGGTTTTAGGTTGCTCATATGCCTTGTTTTCTCTTCAATTATGTGAGTCATGCAAGCATTTCCCCTTGAACACTTTCCAGCACCCCCCAGCCCATATCTCACCCCTCCGTGTTCTCCTCCTCATTTACTCAGCTCCATTCTGTTATGTGTTTCCTGCACTGCCTACAGTGATTGCACTTAGCGTGGATGCTATGGGGGAGGGAATATGGAAGGCAAGAAGGTAAAGGAAGGACTTCTGTGGAATCTGCATGAGCTGAAACACGACAAAGGCTGAAGTGATAAAATAAGTGACAGGAGGAATAGAAGAGAGGAGCAAGTTAAAGTCCAGGTCCTGAGTGATAAGAGACACCCTCAGCATGGAGGTATGTTGGATCTTGTTCCCTGGAAGGAGCAAGAGGGAGGAGATGGGAGCTCAGGAGATGTGGTCCCCCCTCCCCACTCCACCTGCCTAAAACAAAAGCCAGAGGGCAAGGATCACTGAGCCTTCCTTACCACCTCTCCTAGTAAAAGGTTATTCAGGTTGTGAAAGTGGTTATTTTTGTCTCTCAATCATTCTGTTTTCTTCTCTATTCCACTGCTTGCATTATTTCAATTTCTTGTTTAAAACATCTATTTACTGCTTCTGTTCCAGCTCTGATGCTTAGATCACAGGAGGAAAGTAGGATGCCGGTACCACAGAAGTAGTGTGCTCCAAACTTCAGGCTGTACCTACTGGCTGGGGATGAAATCTGCCTCCAGGCCTACGCTCCCCAAGGTGAGTTATGGCTGTGAACACTACCCCTCTTTCTGAGAGCATCTTTTAAGTGTGTTTGCCTCACAAATACGTGCCAGAAATCAGCCTAACTAAGAAACAAGCCACTTATCTGCATTAAAAGGTACGTGGATGCAGAATGCTTGAGCTAGATGAGCTCCACATGTGTGGCACTGTACCTGCTTATTTATTTGTTTTTCACTCTTACCGTTGCTTACTTTAACTGATCTCTAGCTATTAAATTATGATGGAGCAAATGCAATAAAATGACTGTAGGACAGAAAATCCTACCTGAAGTTCTCCCATGGCTCAGCCAGAACTCGGAGATGCACAATTCAATTAAAAGAAATACAAAGTTTTCCTCTTTTCACCTTGCCACTTTTCCCATCTCTTCTGTGCTTCGTATATCCATATATACAGAAATAAATACACACACGCACGCGCATACGCACATACACGCACAAACCCACCCCTCCCCTTTCCAATCCTTCCTTTAAGGTTTAATTTAACAATAACATTTGCGATCGGGGTCCTGAGCATCTCAAGGGCATTGCGCTTGAAATTGCACACACTCCGCACCATTTATCATAGCCTGACATGTGTCATGTTCCAGACTGCAGCTCCAAGAGGTTACAGCTCACGACTGCTCCTTTGTTGATCAGCTGCCGAGACAACTGAGGCACCTTTCTTTCTTTTTTTCTTTCTTTCCTTCTTTCATTTTTTTTTTTATTATTAAAGCTGCACTGTCCTCTTTTCACAGGGTTCGTTCTGACACAATAGAGAAGGCAAACAAATCCTTCTCCACTCTCTGCAGCCTCCACTTCTAATCTTTGTCAGCACCAGTTCAGACCCCATTTACCAGGAGAGCCCGTGATATCTAATATTGCTGCTTAATATTGACTATGGGGTGCATAAACTCTTTTTCAGTTACCTTTCTACTCCAGAGTGCTGCTAAGAGATAAAGATAACAGATACAGAGTTAAGGGAGTCCTCCAGTATTTTCCAGTGGCAAAATCCAGGCAAGATTTTGCCAAAACAGCAAGCTTCTTCCATTGCTGAGCTTCAGTCTTGCAACTTCTTGGGCAAATTATTTTTCTCTCCTCCAGAGCTTCTGCTTCCTTTTCTGAACTCCTTCTCCTCACTTCATTGCTGTCTTGCAGAGCTCTTGCTGCCTGCAATGCACTTGAGACCCGTGTGCATCTTTGTAGAAAAGATGCCTACTGCAATTCAAGGAAGCAGGCTGTTCATAAGGCATATTGACGAGCGCTACTGAATCGTATTCATAAATCACTTGTAGACCTTCTGCCAGTCACCATCCAATCAGCCCTCATACAGGATATGAGTGTGGATGTTATCGCAACTTAATGGGTCAGGGATGCTAGGTGCTATTGGAAAAAAGAAGCGGGTTTCAGTAAGTCTAGCATCTGAACAAAAGAGGGTTTTCTTTGTATTTTTTTGTGTTCTAGAGGAAGTATGCATGTCAGGTGAGCTAGCCATTTCTTTTGTAACTATTTGAAAGCCAACGTGATTTTAAGGCAAGAAATGCTGAGCTGGAGCTGATATAACCATTTCTTCTCCCCCATTTTCAAATTCAGGTCTGTCCTGGAAGACTCAGAGCTCAAATATTTAGGTCATAAAGCTTGGCTGTGTTTTGGAATGATATTTGATCTTTCAGATTCCTATTCCCCTCTGAGCTCTAAATCACGCAGTGTTCATTGCCACCTGTTAGCATCAAGCACAGCCTCTGGAGACACAGTTAGGGTTGCCTTACGTTCTCCCTTTCTTAGCTCCTGTTGATAGATATTTTTGGAGGTTTCCTTGGCTTTAGAGTCTTTTGATTAATAAGAAGTGCCAGAAGGGATGGCTCAACTACTGCTACCACATTTGTGTCACACGCCAATTAGGTTCACAAATGGAGCTTTTATTTTTTGCCCCTTGTCGGCAAGATTTGGCACTCCATCCTTCACTGTGTGTTCATCACAGCCACCCATTGTGACCCTCTTTGCCTTTCAGTTCAGCCTGGGTTTCATTTGTAGTTCAACCAAAATGGCACTTTTTTGTGTGAAGCTGGCTCTTTTTTTTCCCCTTACAGAGTTCCACAGCCATAGCTGGGTAGTCCCACACTCACAACATCCTCTCTGAGCTGCTCCACGTGGCGCTGGCTCCCCTTACATTGCCTTCCTGACCTTGACTCCTGGTTGATCCCGGCTGGCACTGCATGGATGATGTAGTGCTGCCAGCTGGGACGGCACAATGCCACGGCAGGTCTCAGCCAACTTTCAGTCACATAACTCTCCCTGTCCCAGGGAACGCAGCCACCTGCACGGCCTCGCCTTCAAGGATAGAAAAAAAGGGCTTGCAGAAAGTGAGATGAGGCGCAGTGCACTGCCACGCATCAAGGCAGAGATCACCATAAATGTTGCTGCCCCCATCAGTTTGCCAACTCCAACAAGGGCCTGATGCTGGCACCATTCCTCTGCCCCCAGGCAGAGAGAAAGCTTAATATTGGTGGGATATATGGACTTAAGCATATGTAATGGCTCCCCACAGCTCCTAGTGAGGCTTACTCAGGATATTTAAGAGGGTTGGAGCCACACTATTTATGGAGGGGTTGTGCCCCAGGTGCTCTCTCTTTCTAGGACAGCTGTTCCCATGAAAGCCGCTATTGGTGTTTTAATTCCTTGCTCCAGAAAGCACAGTGGCCAGTCTAACCCATAGCTGTTGTAAATGTAAGGTAAATAATCTTAAGGGTGTTTTGTGGATTTGTAGGGAGAAGTAAGGAGGCTACAGGAGGAAAAAATGAGAGCGTATTTTATTGTCAAACCTTAAGACAAAACCCTTCATGTCCCCCACCTCCAACAAAAGATACTCAACATAATATTGCTCAGAAATGAGTTTCCTTTGGGCAGGGATACGCAGATACTCTGAGAATAATAGAAACATGATGAAGAAATTGGCTCACACAGCAGTCAGAGAAGGGCTCAGTTCTCCAGTGGAGACTGTCCTCTGAATATCTCAACCATGAAACAGTGCTATGAGTGGATTCAGAATTGGCTGAACATCCTGGTCTCCCTCTGGAAGGAAATACGGCTACAGCAGCCTCTATTTATTGAGATGGCATTGGGGGAGCCTGGAAGTTAATTGGCTCCTTGGATATGAAGAATAAATGTAACCTTGAGTCCCTCTCCTAATAAGAAAAGGAGATAACCACCAAGCCCTGCAACGTATAAATAAGTGGAGAACCAATAATGACTTCAAAAAAGTATTTAAATGCAATCAGACAAAGCTGCTTGAAACATCAGAGGAAAGAATAATGGTGTGTGTACAGTAGACACAATGTAGATTACAATTTATAACAGGATACAGGATGGAGCCAGCACTTGATTAGGGGACCATGTTACAAATTTTTCAGCATATGTCCTCTGTTTTTCTTAGCCTTGGCATAGATGTCTGGGCACTGCTGGTAAGTAAATCAGATCGTCAGAAAATGCCCATGTTGATGAGAACTGAAGGATCCAAGGAAATTAACTTGAGTTGTATTTTAGACATTTCTGCCATATCCATTCCTTGCCCAGAGCTGTCAACTGCAAAAGAGTTGTGCCTGCTCACAGCTTTAATCAGAGATAAAAATTATCCCTAGTTGATGAATTCCCAGCACGGAGTTCTGCATGTCTCACACTAAGACATGTCATATACTGCTGTGTTTTTTTTCTCTGAACAGCACCCTCAAAATCAACACTTTGCCCTGCTCATCCCCAGATACACAGAAAGCCTGGGCAAGGGAAATCCTCCCGGATGAAACATGGGAAGCTCCTGCTGTTGAACCTGTAAGACCTTACAGCTCCTCGTGTGTCTGCTTGCTATGGCTGCGTAGGAGCTGCTCACCTGATTGCTAAGGATGAAATCAGGAAGGAATTCTTTCCCTCCATCTGATGACAAAGGCTGCTTCTTTCACCTTCTGTGATTTAAGGCTTGGTCTCCCTCCTGGATGTGTTCACAACCACACTCCCTGCTGTTGTTGGGACCTGATACGTCAACACGGCTCTTGACCTCTCCTCATGTAAGTTGTGCTCTGCAGTGGGCTGGGGGAGGCTGGGACATGCCTTTTCTTATGGACAGCCAGGCTATGCTAAATGAAGCACTCTTCCTGGTTTGGGTAATCCTTTCCACTTCTAAATGTATTTTCCTTGCCATTCTTGTAGCCCACAATCTGTAGAGCATCCTAAATTAAAGAAACCAACGCCAGAAAAATAACCAACAAAATCAGGAATGCGACAGGCAGAGTAGAGCAAGGAGTAAATGGTTGACAAGGGATGTTTATGTGTCACTCTGTGTTATTTTGGCTGCTCTGCTTGTCCAAATCCCCCTAGGAAATGGAGGGAGCACAGGCAGCTAAATGAAGGCTTCTCACAGGGCAGGGGCTGACCAGATTGCAGTGTGCGTGCAGACTGGTGTGGGTATAGCGGTGTGTATGGCATGGAGGAGGGAAGCTTGTCACTGTGTTTTCTTTCTAGACAGACATAAACACTCCTGTTTATTTCCAGCATGCCATCTAAATTCAAAATTAGCATAAGCTGATGATGTTAATTGAATTATATGCATGCAAGCAGTGCTTTATCAAAGGTAAGGGACATAAGGTCATTCCCCTAAGGGCCTCCAGGGAACAAGTACCCATCTGAGATAATATTGAGATTGGCATAGTTGGGTATAAAACCACTTCCAAGTATGAAGAAATTGAGTTCTTTGTCATTAGGAAAAAAAAAAATTCCTATTAATACTGTAATTCTCCTTTTAATAAAGGCTGCTCTCATTGAGGTCTAAGAAAGAGCCCTCCAGGTCCAACAAGCGGTGGCATGGGCTGCAGCTGGCAGTCTGGCTGACTTCCCAGAGCAGGGAAAAATCATGTTGAATTGGCCATCTGAGCAAAGCACTAGGATTTTGTTCCCTTCAGGTCATTGTACCACAGCTATCATGAAAGTGTCAGTGTGCTTCCTTGTATGATAGCAATGACACTGAGACAGACAAAACAACAGAAAGTTCTGTACTTTCTAAGGAATTTTATGAAAATATAATTCCACAAAAGATATTATTTCATTTAATTACCCTCTGGAGTCATACTGAGAGCAGAGTCAGAGGGTCTCAGCTTGCAAGCACCAAAGGAAGGAAAATATTTCCCATCTTTCTAAGCCAGTAGCTTAGAAAGGGAGAAAAGGAGGGAGATAGTCTCTAATATACTGTGGCTACCACTCTTGATATTGATTTTCATCGCATAGTTTAAAAAAAACTTTGCTTTTCTAAGCATGAAAATTGGAAAATCTGAGCTGACAATTCTCTCTCTTTCTCTCTTTCTCTTTTTTTTTCTTTCTTTCTTTCTTTTATTTTTTTTCCTCATGGGTAAAACTGTGAAATCCGGAAGTGAAATGTATCTCAAAAGTCAACGTCCTTTTGTAGGCAAACCTTCCCCGCCTGGCAAATAGGGAATTTTGCCCTCCTTAACGAGAGCTACGCTATCTGATGGCTGCCTGATGAAGTAGGAGCTCAAGGAGGCCACCTCTACACTGAACAATCCCATACATCAGAGGCCACCCCTTTGAATTCAACAGTTTTTCTGGTGCTAAGAGAGAATATTGAAAACCTGGCCTTAAATCACACTTTTCAAGTAATACGCAGCAATGAATGGAAGAGAAAAGGAAGCCAGGATGCTTATAGGATTTAAGGAGCTTCTTTTGAAAGAAGAATCCACCCTGCTGCTGATGGCCAGATGCTCATCTATGCCTGGAGATGTGCAAATAAACATAAGGTGTAAAGCTGTTAGCGGTGGTTCATGGCAACAGACTAACTCCTGTCAAGGAAAAGCAGGTTAGGTAAACTTTTCAGGTGTTTGGAGGTGAATCTTTTCATTTGTGCACAGCCCTTGGTTGACCCAACTATTTCACATCATTACCAATTGCTTTGTTCGTATGTATCAAACTTCTTTCTTGTGCTTTATTGGTTTTTGCTCTCACTGACCTCTTCCAGCAGTTTACTTTCTAACATCCTGAAAGCTTCATCATGACTGCTCAGTGCACCTCACCCAGGGCTGAGATTAAAAGTTAAAAAAAGAGAAAGAGTGAACACAACGGGAGAGAAAACAGAAGAGATTTTGGCAGCAACCTGGTGACACTCTGAAGTAAGTGAAATGGGATGGGTAACCACCTGGAATAATGGCAGGGGGAAAAAGAGAGAGAAGAAGCTCAGTGAATTGGCTCAAACAGCAGGGCCTGGGCAAGAGGATTAGGGGAAATAGCAGTGTGAGCAGACCTCAGGAATGGAGAAAGCAGAAAGCATATCATCTCAGCTCTCTGTTCCAAAGAGAGGTGCCAAGACCAGTTAAAAAAATGGAATATGGGCTTGTCTGAATCACAACACAGAGCCCCAGTTCCTCGTATCCAATGGCTGCTTCTTTCCCAAACTAAAACTTCTAAGGTGCAAGAGAAGTCACAGAGTTATCCAAAGTGAGAGGAGGAAGGAGAGAAAGTGGAAATTAAACGGGAGAGCAAATCTGCTTTCCACATCTTACCGCAGCTGCAGGACACTTTGCTGTAGCACGGCCAGCAGAACATCAATAATATCCATCCCCAGGGGTGCCTCAGAGTGACATTTGTGGCCTCCCTCTGCACACTGGGGTGTGGGGGACAGAAGGAGGTGAGAGTATGTCAGCCTGGCCAAAGCTCACTCAGGCTGAACCCAGGACCTTCTGCCATTTCTATTCCGGGAACTCACCGCGGGGTTATGTTTGGGTTGCCTAAACAGAACGTTGCTGCCATTGATGGAGGATAAACATTTTATTCAGTAGCAGCGGGGGGAGATTTGGGAGTCTGACTCTGCTCTGAATGCGGGTGACAATTGAAACATTCAGTACGCTTGCCAGGAAATATCTCAAGATTCATTTAGTGTCAATAATAGAAAAAAATATATATATATTTTGACAAAACTAGAATATTTTATTTCTTTTTTTAAAAAATTATTATTTTTTTTATTATTATTATTATTATGGTAGAAAATTAAAGCACAAAGCCAAATATTGTAGTGTCTTCTCAGAAAAGTTGGCCTGGGTTCTCTAGCACAGCCAGAACCTTTCTTGCAGTTTTCCTCCAGAAAGTAGTGCTGACAAAATCAATTTGTTGCTATGAAGTGTTTCAGTGCTGTTGGAATCACATAACTTTTAGTTAGTATGTGTACAATTGTCTCTAGCTCTAACACATTCCAGGTGTTTGTCTCTCAGTTTATCATCTAAAAGTTGCAAAATTTAGGCTTTGCTTTAGGTTTCCAGTACCATGAAATTTCATAAAGCCCGGTGGTTCTTGGATTGGGACTTTTGATTTCAACACATGGAGCAAAACACTGTGAGATCATGGTAATTGAGAAGGAATTCCAAGAAAGACCAACTGGAAGTCTATTGCGTGATACTAAATCACCGGAACTGCATGAAGTCTCTCAGCAAAAGATACTGTGTAAACTTCAAAGGATTTTTTTCTTTTTTTAAAGGAAAAAAAAAAAGAGCATTTTTCCTGCATTCTTTTTTTCACAAAGTATATGATGTTGGAATTTTTTTGTTGTATTTTTTTCATGTGTATATTCTGCTTTATTTATAATGCTAATGAGGAATTAAATTGCTACATCTTCAGACTAATGACCCTTCTCAAGGCTATTTTAACGGTGCCTTCCCAGCTTTTCCAAATCCCCGCCTTGCATTTAGGAGACAGAGAGAAGTTTAGATTCCATGTCTGCCTTTGGTGTTTCTGCCAGCAGCAGATTTGAGGAATGCAATGCCATGTCCCAGGGTACAAAAAGCTTTGCTTTGGCATCCTTGACATCTTTGGTCCTTGTTGTGGCTATCTCATAATTCATGCAAGTGTTGCCATACAACTGCAAGTTTTTCATGAGGTCATAAAAGTGATTTATAGAGGTTTTCCCATAATCTCCAAGAAAATTAAAGAAGGTTGATGGAGCTATTCAACTCAGTGTTGCCTCAACAATGGTTTCATTCAGAAATGACACTGAGCAAGATTGAGGGATTTAAGATAGCAAGAATGTCCTTAGGAAGTCTTTTCTGTCTGTAAAAAATGTGATGCATTCAAACTAAAAAGTGTTGTTTCTTCTATACATTTTGATGATTTTACCCATGACAACTACTTTGAGATTAGTCAGAGATTTTTCTTCCTTCATTTTCTGCAAAAGGCTGATTAACACACTGCAGATCCCCACTTGGCAAAATAATTTCTTCTGAGGTATCTGAAGGTTAACATTACCTTTCCTTCGACTACTGTTTTATTTTGATTTTTTTTTTTGCTTTTAAAGTAATTTTACACTGATATGGCAAGATCTACATTAATGTAGATATGTAGATGCTTTTGTAAAAAATAAAAACTGAAGTAAAACACAAGAATCAAGCTACTGAATTTCCATGCTGTTTAAATAGAACATTTCAGAACTGTGGGGACTTGGTGCTTCCAACCTTACTTTTGAAGCTGTATGTAAAGTGGTTTCATTTTTACAGAACTGCATAGTCCAAATGAGCTTTCACTAAACTGCCTCCAACTTCAATATATTCCCTACTTCCAACATGGAGAAAGCTTGGATGTAACTCCCACCTCTGTGACTGGGGCTGAGTGCCAATTACACAGCACCCAGTGGCCTATGACTCTCTTTTTTCACTTCTAAGAATCTCTCTTTTCTAGCTAAATCTTCAGGACAGCTTGCAAACTATTTGCTCTGGAGTTGAAAGTAACCTTGAAAACACTACTGCATAGTAGTAACCAATGGGATTATCCCATCCTTTCTCAAAAATGGTGGTGTATCATTCCTATCTTTCCTCTTCAGACTCTTCCCAGCAGGTTTCTGAAGACCTTTTTAAGGTAGGCGATATAGTTTTTTTCCTCTTGCATTTGAATATTTCATCTCAAACTTCACAGAGAGACGACTATCTCCTAACTGCGTGTGAAAAGCTAAGGGTGTTTTTCATGTATGTTCTAAAGCATTTGATGCAATCTATACAATGATTATATACAAATAAAGACAAATTCTTTTAAAAATCACCTTTTTATTGGAAGAAGCAGGCCTTTTAGAGGAAAGAAACCATAAAGGTCATACACAGATCAAGAAGGATCTAAAGGTGAGAAATTCAAGTACTTTGAAGAGTATTTGAAATGCAAACATTAACACAAGACAGAGGACAGAGGACACCCTGATATCAGAAAATTTGTCCTCAGAATGACTCCTTGGGTGGTGTAAAAGTATTTTGCCAAATTCTGTTCTCACAGTTTGTGAATTAAAAGTAACTCGGCAATGTGAGTTCATTAAAAGGGAGATGGCATCAACCTTGCCACGTTCAAAGCAGGTTGCAAACAGCTTTAAGTATATAAATAAAAGATAGGTTCTTTGACACACAGTACCAAATGGTATTTCAAGGCAGTGCTGTCTCACAGCCAGTGTGTTATAGCAGGCTCATAAAAGAAAACAATGAAATGTGGCCTTGCATCTTATTTTTGGTTCATGTAATATTAAAAAGAAAACATTATTATTACTATAATAGCAATTATTATTGTTGCTTTATTGTTACTATTATTAATTCTTGCAGTTTTCTCATGGCATTCCTTAAAGCCTCAGCTACTGGAATGAAGGGATCATTGGAAGAATTTCAAGTTTGTTTGTTTTTATATGGTGTTCCAATTTTCCTAGTTACAAAAATAAACCCAAAAACATACTCTGAGTGCAACTAACAAATGGAATGAGGGCACATAAAAGGCATCTAATGCTGCATTTCTATACCAGGCATGTTATAAAGAACAAATTTCATTTAAATGTCCATAGTGTCAGTAATTAGAATGAGCCTGGCATTCCTTGTTACCCTGTGAAATTACCTGCAAGGCCTTTTCATATTGTTTTCCTGCCATTGTTTTCATGCTCCATAGAGCATTAAGAGTCAATGACGGGCAGCTCTTGTGTTAGTCAGTCTATGAGTCGTAGAGTATTCTCCATTTGGAGCTATTGGAAACACCTCAAGGTGTTTATTGATAAATACTTCCTAAAGACCTTTGTAATAGAGAATTCTCCTTTCTGCCTGCTCTCCAGTACCTATAAGGCCCATCTTTTCCCCAAAAAATATAAATGTTTTTTTGTTTTCTTTCCAGTAGCCTCTGTAATAAACCTTCAATAGAAGCTATGGATGAAGTATGCTTCCAGTCCAGCTCAGTCCTCCAGCTTTGAGCAGTGCAGTGCCATTTCCTCTCCATTTGTTTCTATGGAGCTGACTATGTGTGCGGTCATCCATAGGGGTGCTGAGATACCCTGGAGAGAGAAGGAATGGCTGGAGCTATTTTTCATTATTTTATACTACACTTTGTAATAAATGAAATCCATATCATGTGAACACTGGTCCTGTAGCTCATCATATCCGCAAGCACAAGGAACCTTATGTGCTAAATAAAATAAGTAAGCTTGAGAAAAATTGTCTGGTGAGGCAGTAGAGTGTTCAGTGTTCAACTGTACAGTGCAACCTCTCTGACTGAGAATGATATTAAGACCTACAGAACTACAGAACAACCAGTTTTAGAGCTAAAGCAGTCTACAGTTTGTATCTATCTACACTCACAGCCTTTCTTCCACAACAAAAATGTACTGACTTAAATCTCCATTGTCTTACAGAGATCTTTGGGGTAACAGAGAATAGCAAGCAACTAGTGATCCACAAAGGAAAATGGCAGCAGAAGGAACATGATAGAACTTCTGCAATAGTGGTGATGGTGAGTGCTGGGTATCTACTTAGAACAGATTGCACAGATGTGTTTTCTTAAGATGCAGCTTATAACAGGTCTAGGTTTTAAGAAATATCCATGGGTTTACATATAGGATGTATGTCTGTCCACATCACAGTGCTGTAGTGTTGGATGGTCCTGCTGAGAGCCTAAAGAGTATTTCCAACTCTGGTAGGCATTTTGACCAATAATCTGAGGATGTGAACTATTGAACAGCTAACCAGTGCAAAGAAAATTATGGACATCTATTCCCAGAATAGCAGTTAAACTCCAGGAGATGAAGTATGCTGTTATTTCCACAGTTCAGTGATGCTCTGGTACCTCCTGCCTTTGCATAATGATCTGGTTTGGGAACCACTAGCAGCAAGTCCCAAGACTTACTTGATTTTTTGTAAGCAGAAGTGCCAGCAAGAGCCTCCAGAATGCCAAAATTCAGTTCAAAAAAGCTGCACTCAGCACCACACAGCATCCCAAAGAGAAGAAACTGAGAGAAAGTATATAGCATTTTAAAACAGTGCCAATCTTCCCAGAATAAAATGTTTAACCCTTTAGTACAGGAGGCACAGCAAAAACATTTAGTTTTCAAATGTTTTGTTACTTATCCTGATCTATTATTGGTGATTTTACGTGTTTGCCCTCATTCTGAAGAAGGAATAGGACTTGTGTATTAGCAGCTGAGTGCAGTGACTCCATCTGATGGCTATTCACACTAGATGGGGTTGGCTTTCTAATTTTGCTGGGATTTTCAATCTCATGGCAGATTATAAACACCTTATAAAATCTTCCCAGTCGCAGACTTCTGGAGGTGAGGGCTCTGTATAACAATTCATTTGGCATCATAAAACTGTAAAATCACACTCAAAAATATACACACACGCGCACAAACACTCACTTCTACCATTTCACAAAGCTCTGTTTTTTTCACTGTTTGCCTAGGAGTGAGTCGAGAGAATTCTGGTTTGGTTAAACTTTCTGCCTCTCAGATAAAAAACAGCAGCAATTTTCTGCTTGAATTTCTCTGTGACTAAATCCATTGATCATCCTTTCTCTCAGTGAGTGAGGAGTGTGTTTTCTCTTTAATAACTCCTATCCTTCTCCCTGAATATTTTTTTTCTCTCCTCTTGGCTTGTTTGTGTTGTGTTGGTCAGTCCACTGCACTATTCCTCCGAGAG